CATCTTGGAGAGACTGTGCCGTAAGGGAGGACAGATACTTTTTTCCACACCTGTTAATTTGTAAATTAAAAATTTTCGTCATATACACATATATATATCATGTGTAATGTGGCTTACTTCGAGTTTTGGTAACCAGTGTGTGTAAAATAATTGTTTGATAATCGCATGTTGTTTTAATAATGGGCAATGGAAGTTATATGAAGTTAAGATTTAAAAAAAAAAAAAAAACAAACCAAAAATAATCATTTTATTCTATTCCCTCACCTTACCAACTCTGTGTGGAAAAGGGTTTTTGATCAAACAGATTTTGGGCTGGGTAACTAATATGTAATTTTATATATATATATATATATATATATATATATATAGATATATATATGGTGTAAATATTCCACAGTTGAAATGTCTGTGACTAAACTGACTACACTACTCCAAGTTCTTCCAGTGAAATTTAACTTTTTGTTAGTAAGCCAGTAAGATGAAAAATAAGACCTAACAAAGGGCAGAACTATCTGAGTCAACATCCAGCTAACTAGAGGTGGTGTCTCCATAAGCCAACATTGAGAAGGCAACAGGAAACCACTTCACTATTAATCCTAAGATATATCATGGCTAATAACACACACATCATGAATAAAACCATCACCTGTCTTAATTACTGCTTTACAAATTCTTGGCATTGTTTTCAACAGTTTTTGAAAATAATTATGACAGACCTTCAAGCACTGAAAAAGCTCACTCTCTCTTTTGGGGAATTTTCTTCAAACTCTCCTATTCATACTAGACTAATTCAATGAGAGAGAGATCAGGAGATTGAGGCAACCAAGTTATAATTTCCAAAATACTGTTTAGTTCTGTGGTTATTTTGACATAATTTAAAAGATTGTTTTGGATCATTGTCTTGTTGAAAGGTGAATTTTTTTTTTCAGTTATGTGTAAACCACATAGTATAGCATGTCTTTGCAAAATTGAACAATAATCTTTTTTTTTTTCTCTCCCCCCCCCTGATTCCATTGACCTGAATCAAATCTCCACTCCTCTCTCCCCCAAAACACTCCCAAACCATAACATAGCCACTACCATGCTTAACTGTTGAAACCACACATTCATTATTCAGTCTTTCTCCTGGCTTTTTTCTCACATACACTCTCCTTTTACTAGCAAAAAGTTCAAATTTGAACTCTTCTGTCCACAAGACATTTTGCCATTCATTCAATATTCACTTCAACTATTTATGCCCATAAATTTTTTTCTGCTCATTCACCTTCTATAACAGGGGTTTCTTGATGGCTATACACACTCTGAGCTCTGCTGATTAAAGTGGATTTTTTCATAGTTGAGAGTGACACTGGTTGCTATTGAGAAGAATTGTCCAGTTGTCAACTCTGGAGCAGTTTTCCTTCAAATTCTTTTGCTCTCAATAATCAAGTGTTTATCTTCAGCAGCAGTTGTCACTTTTGGTGCTTCAGCTCTTTTTTCTGGCAACATTTCCACCTGTTTTTAACTGTATTTGTAACATATATTACATCCCTTGTCTAGAAATCTTCAACTTCTTTCCAAATTGTCTTCTAGAATAGCCTTCTTTGAATGTAATTTTAAACTGTGCACTTACCTCAATGTTTACCTGCTTTGATTTTGCCATTTTTGTGCAAATTACTTCAAAAAAAAAAAAAAAAAACTATGAAAATACTGTCATAATAACACAGTCTTTTTTCTTCAGAGACTGCTACATGTGTTTTGGTTACAACATGGTACCGAGTTAACATTTATAACCTGTATTAATATTTAATTTAGTTGAAAAGTTTACTGAGAGGTTAATGGTGGGGAAAAAAATTTTTTTTCCTTCAAGATGTTCATAATTTAGCAAAATATATTGTGAATTGATGAATTCAAATTTGCACTTTTTAGTAGTAAGAGGAGCTTGGGGAAAGACTGAAAACTAAAAGCAAATACACTGTAGGCACTGTAATTTTATCTCTTACTTTACAAAAATATCTCATTTTATGGTGTGTTGATTTTTTTTTTGGAGTTTTTTTATTTTGATATGCAGGGTGGCCTTAAACGTTTTAACTGTAGTGTGTGTGTGTGTGTGTGTGTGTGTGTGTGTGTGTATAAAAGCTTATTACTTCAAATGTTATTTTTAGTGGATACCTGTATTTGAGTATATGCTCCATTTATTTAAACAGTGTTTCTTTCATCTACCAGCCTGCACACTTGAGAAAACTTTAAAGAAAATGTGACCTCCAGCAGGATTCAAACCTGCACCCCCATCCCCTTTGCAGGAGAAAACACAGACTGATCCGGTATGCTTTAACTGCATGGATACAGAAACCTCCATAATCAAGCAAGGTTCTATTTACCGTAAAACACATTCACTTGTTTAGATTTTCTTGAAAGCCATATCTGCTCATTTTTGTATTTAAAACATAAAGCAATTTCTAAGCAATTAATAGATTTTATTCTACTCAAATAAAAGTATCCACCAAAAATAACATTTCAAGTAGTAAAAATATGTTAGATTAAAAAATAAAATCCATTAATTCTTTAGAAATTGCATTATGTTTTAGATAAAAAAAACTGAGTAGATATGGCTTTGGAGAAAATCTGAATGGATGAATGTGTTTTAAAGCAAATAGAACCTTGTTGATTGTGAAGCTCTCTGTACCTGAGAGGTCAAAGCACAACAAATCAGACAGTGGTTTCTCTTGCAAATGAGGACACAAGTTTGAATACTTCCAGAAGGTACATTTTCTTTATTTTCTTATGCAGGTTGATAGACAAAATAAACATTGTTTAAATAAATGGATCATCCACTCAAATATAGTTATCTACTAAAAATAAAGTTTGAAGTTATAAAAATGTCAGATTAAAAAATAAAACTCATTCGCAATCAACTAGTACTTTAATCTAAAATGGCAAATATGATAAATGCATCAGTCTTGTTTCTATCCATTTTTTTTCACCAACTTGTTTTGATCAGTGAATGGTTGTATAGCCTATCAGCCCATATTCCCTTAAATGCTTGAAATATGTGCCTCGTAATAATGAATTAAGAGATTTTTATTAGTTTGATATATATTTTGTACTAATTTGTTTCATGTATATATTTAAAGTATCTAATGATAGGAATTGTTTATACACACTTTAAATTGACGATGATATTATTTTACATTAAATTCTTGTCAGTCAGTCAGTTATGAGCCATGCATGATGCACGCTTAGGCAATCATGTATCTTTCAATACATGACTGATGAGGCAAATTTTTTCCCGCAGTAGGTTGCCATTTCTTTCTGTGGTAGACCAGTTACCATCCAAGGCTATAGAACCCGGTCTATCCTGCTATTTACCCATAACTGCAGAGAGGTGATTCATACCTTTCCCAAGGGTATTAGCACAAAAGTGAATGTAATGGATTTAACTGGAATTCAAACTCAGCTCTCCTATTTCTCAATCCGAGCCACTATCCATTACTCCAATCTTTTTTAATAATTAGAAATGTTCTGATGTCTTAATGAGTATAATGAACAGTAGCTACTACATTTATTATCTATAAACATTTTATTATTATTATCTTCAGTCAAAAACTGTTCATTGCATCTTTAATTTTAGTTCTTCATAGTGTAACTTTATCAGCAGAGCAAACTTTTGTGTTGTAAATTTTCAATGATATCAGTGTGTGTGTGTGTGTGTGTGTCATAAGTGATGAAGTAATTTACAAACAATTTTTTTTGCCACTCCTGAAAGTTTTTCATTATCATTTGCAACTGTAAATAAACTAAAGTTTTTTTTATTTTCTTGTGGTTTTATACATAATTTTATAAAGAATATATTTTCTGATGTTTAATAATTATAGAAGAATAACTATGAAAGAATCTCTGGTTGATACCACTTGCTTATTGTAGACTAACAATATGTCCATTACAGTATTAGGTTAATATTAATGATAGTTATTCATTCCCTTTTTGGCAACTACAATGTAACTCCCACACACTGTTCTACTCTTTTCAACACTCTAATTGAAATCCTAGTTAATATGAAGAATTGAATAGTTATTTCCAGTACAATTCAACTCTTCTAGCTTAACCACTATTTTCCCTATCACATAAACTTGTATAGTTTGTTACTTCTGAACAGATTTAATAAAAATTTTTTAAAAAATGAATAAAATTTCTATCAATCCCCATCATAAAAAAATTTTTTCTTTTTTACATTTGTTATATGACTGAAAATTATATATATATATATATATATATATATATATATATATATATATATATATGAGTTTAGCCTAAGATAGTGGCAGGCAAAAATTGCCTTGGTGGACCCCTTTAAAATGAGGGCACTGCACCATTTTGCATAATTTGTTTTTTATTTGTAAAAATTAATATTAACATAAAATCTTCAAAAAAAAAAAAAAAATTGACAAAAATAAACAAAAAGTTTTAAAATCAAATGTTTTTATTGACAAATAATATATATATTATATCATTATAATGACCAGAATTATTAGCAATGACATCAATCAAAGAAATCAAACATTACAACATTATTAGCTTAGAATATATTGTGGAAAAATTGTGATTGTTGTATTATTGTATAAAAATATAAAGCGTTTTCAGCATAAAATCAAAATAACTGTAGAAGAGAAACAAAAAAAATATGTACAGTAACTGTCAAAAAAAAAAATAATCCTTTACTTTCCAACATGAATACTCTACTCGGCATTTTATTAGAATCGAAAAACATTAATTTTTTATTATTTTAGATGGGGGGGGTGTCCTGTTTACAATATACAGTGCATTGTAAAAGTCTACACTCCATTGAAGACTGGATGTATTTTGTTTATTTTGATAGGAACAATTAATATTTTAAACTCCAATAAGCAGATCTATCATACTTTTATTTAATACACAAAATAGATTTGAAAAAATTTAAAACTGATTCTTAAACAAAGATAATTTTGAAAAATGTCTTTGCAAAAGTCTACACCCCCTTTGGGATGTCCTTGGCTAATACTTTGTGGATGATCCTGCTGCATCAATTACAGCCTAAAGACGCCTCGGGTAGCCTTCCACAAGCTTGCTGCAGTGGTCTGATGACAGTTTTTGCCATTCTTCTCAAGCTGTGTCAGATTGGATGGGGAACGTCGGTGCACAGCCAGCTCTAGCAGACTTCAGCAAGTTTGCCTCCAATATTTCTTGGTACTTGACACTGTCCATGACACCTTGGATGGTTACCAGCTCTCCAGGCCCTGCAGCTGAAAAACAGCCCCAAAGCATGATCGAGCCACTGCCATGCTTTACAGTGGGGAGGGTGTAATGAGGTTGGTGAGCAGTGCCTTTTTTCTGCCAAATGTAGCGTTTTGTATTTTTTCCAAATAACTCGACTTTCGTCTCGTCTGACCATGAAATCTTTCGCCACATGGTCATGGAATCATTGATGTGACTTTTGTTAAAGTTTAGCCTAGCTTGCTTGTACATAGGCTTCAGAAGGGGCTTTTTTTCTAGCTACTCTCCTTTGCAGGCCAGACCAGTGCAATACTCTGAAAATTGTAGATGCATGGACATCTGCCCCAGTACTGGAAACTGAAGCTTTCAAGTCTTCCAGTGTTGCACTAGAGTTGGAGGTTGCCTCCTGGACCAGTTTTGATTTTGCTCTTCTGGTAAGTTTGCTCAGCCTTCCAGATCTTTATAGAGTAGCAGTGGTTTTGTGCACCAACCACTTCTTAACTACAGTTTTAACAGTGCTTAGGGGCAATTCTAAAGTTTTTGCAATTTTTTTATAGCCATTATTTTCATTGTACTTTTGAATAATGTTTTTAAGTTCCTGAGACAGACGCTTGCCCATTTTCTTTCCTGAGTTGGACACCTCGTGTTTACAGTCAGTCCAAAGACAAACATATCAAGAAACCATGTGGTGGATGATTTTGTAGGCAGTTAAACCACCTTATATAGCAAAATAATAGACTGGCCAAGTTTGTTTGTTATGGTAGAATGCACATGTCACTTTTGATTGTTCTGGATTGTATGCATCAATGATAAACTACATAACACAGTATAATATCTGGGAGGTGTGAACTTTTGCAAAGACATTTTTCTAAGTTATATGATTTTAAGAATCGGTGTGAAATTTTTAAAATGTAATCTTTATATCAAAGGAAAGTGTGATGGATCTGCTTATTATTTAACAATCATTGGAATTGAAAAAATGTGTTGTTCCCTGTTAAATTATTCAAAATATATAAATTTTCAGAGGGGGTGTAGACTTTTTGCAAGCCACTGTAAATACGTCAAACGGATCCCTGACTTTTTGACATACATGTAGTTTTCTTTCCTTTTTGAGGGGACCAGTCTATTTAATTATTGCTGTTTTAAAATGAAATGTATTATTACTGTAATGTGTGTGTAATGATGTTTATTTCATTTCCGGTGGACATAAATGTTGCAAGATTGAAATAAACTTGTAACATTTGTTGAAATTCCTTTCATCTACCTCCTTTCTTTGAAAATATAGGGCAAATTTTTTCTTGGAAAATCTTCATTGACCACCTTAAGAAAAATGTAACACTTTTCGCTCTTAATTAAAAACAAATTTTTTTTTCTCTTAAGTTGAAGGCAAAAATTGCCTTGGACAGGGTTTGCTTTTTTTTAAGGGCACCTCACCATTAAATACGGCCACCACAGCATACTCATCCTGAAAAAAAAAAATATATATATATATATATATATATATAGTGCAGCATTGCTCCCACACAATGCTAAGACATAAGCTAAATGAAGACACCATTGCCATTTATGTGGGAATAATTCTGCTGCACCTTCTCTATATATTTTAATGCCTTCAGTATGTAGGCAGTTATGGCTTTACACAGCTTCCTTTTCTTTAATATCAGTGAATTGTCATGACATTTCGAAAAGATTGTAAAGGTGTTGCCTTCTCCAGTTTTTTTTTTTTTTTTTAGCATTGTCCTAGACTAGTTGACTTCCAAGGTTAAAGAGCCAAGTCTACTTTGCTATTTAACTTATAGTTGAGGTGGTAAGAAATGGATTCATGATTTTCATAATAGTAAACACAACACTGTTAGAATTTGAACTTGGCTCACTAATTCATCTTTTTACATCAGTAAACATTATGCTGCTTAATTATCTAATCATTAATAAGTAATAATTTATTTAAGCAATCTTGAAGATATGAGCTGTAAAATAGTTAAAAGGAAAGTTTTTCTTGTACATATAAAAATATAATTTTAGGTCTCAAGAAAAAAAATTAAAAAAATTAGTGTTGCTTTGTCATCAGGTTTAAACATTGTCTGGAAAATTTGGATGCAATTAAAGATCCCTTACATGTGCTTGCATACACACACACATAATTTCTTTTCTAACTATTTAGATTTTAAAGTTTTAGCCTTTAATATCTTAAAAGAAATGTTCATACAGTTTAAATGATTCTGAGTTGAAATTTATATGGGGTAAAAAAAAAAAGAAAAAGTATTTTGAATT